GTGTGCCTTGGCAGTCTAACTACTTTACTGCCATACAAGCTGCTTTGTGAGGCTATACTTACACATTGTTGTTCTAAGAAAAATGCAACTGTTGGCATGCTAACATCTGAAAAAAGACATTGTTTACATGCTTTGTTTTGCAGGCATAAAGTTCACTAAGTTTGCCGTCTTAGTTGATTTTGTGACCATGCTCGCATTTGCTTATTAGCACTCAAGACAAAGTAAAGCCAATGCTGATGGGAATGTGATTATTATTATTCTGAAAAATATGGAGGGAAGATAGCAAGTATTTGACTGATGAAAAATGTAATATTTGATTCATCCTCTGGGCAAACTGACTTTGCAAATGTCTTGTAAAAATTCCATGGCAAGTAGTGAAACGACTGTCATACAAGAAAGCATTTCCTTCCAAAATCATGCCAAAAAAGAACTTGAATTTATTTTCCAAAAGATCAGTACAAGTCTGCCACAAACAGATCTAAATCAACTCTGGCTGTTAAAGAATATCTGGCCCCCATACTGCTCCAAATACAGATAATAATTCAATTAAAGACATACTGCAATGTAACCTGCAGCTCATAAAGAGATGTATTGTTCTCATTTAACTCGAAAATAACTACATATTAAAAAAACAAGAATAGAGATTATGGCCACAACAGACTTATTTTCCCTAAAGAAACCATACTTCACTTCAGTCTTTAATCTACTTACTCCACAAAAAAATATACTAAATACAGTATATAGCGTGTACGCAAGTCTAGGCAACCATAGGGAAGAATGCATGTTTCCTTTATGAAGCTGGTTTTAGGTTTATGGGTTTGACAGTGCACGGAGGTTGTAAAGTACAAAAAACAGGTTTGGTCCTAAAAGTCGCTGAATGTGAAGAGCAAAGATAAAAACAAGTAAAAAAAGAAGGTACAACGTATTTTCGTTGTCATACATACTTGGGATGTTTGTCATACATGATGGGGAGGAATTCATCGACAGGAAGCATCTTGGACAGCGGCTCAGCGTTGAGCAGTTTCTGCGCTCCCTTCAGGGAGATGGCGTAGGACAGAGTCCAGTACGAGTAGTCGGCCATTACCAAGTTGTGAACATTCTCCACCGGCTTTTCCTTTCCGGGATTCACTTGCTTTCTGCCAAAGTATCTGTAGCAGGATTAAGCCACAATGAGAACAAAAAAGAACAAAAACAATAGTGAAGGACGCAATGTCCCAAACAACTGAGTCCTGATATGTGCTGCTGTTCTTTGCTGCCATGTGTTGGTTATCAGGGTAGAAGTAACGTTTTTTTCTGCAGCATTTGTTCTGCATGTGTTTTGAATCAAATTCAGAAAGTCATGGCAACCACAATACAGACAACGCAAAGAAGATGCTTGTACACTTCACATGTTCCTGCCAATAAACTATTTTCAATCTGCGTCTGATCATCTAAATATGACTACAATTAAAACCATGTGTTTCTATGTCCTTTAGATACCTGAAACCCTGTGTGGAATGAATTCCTAGAAATAAAAATGTTCAATGACTTCTTACTTCATTCCTCTACACAGGCATACACAACATACCATTAAGGAGACTTTGTTGACTCAACATAACCTTAGCCATCCTTGCCAGAACAACAACTGCATCAATACATAATTTCTTACATGATGTCCCAGTCCAGATCCTCCTGCTCCACCTCCTCCATCAGTCTGAGGGCCCGTCGCTTGAAGTTGGCCTGGAAACGAACATCGTCTTCGAGCACAAGGGCTTTGTCCATCTGCAGCTCCACGATCTGACGACAAGAGGGGAATCCATCAGTTTCAGAAGGACCAAGAGAGGGTTAAGGAATACAGAAAAACAAAAACAAAAAACGAGGGAGAAACAAAGATTGGACAGTAACTAATAGGGGTTAGACTCAAAAATAGTACAAAAAAATACTCTGAGTGTCTGAGAGTATACATAGTGGGCTTGTGTTTCAATTTGGGTCCATTTTGAATTTTGTGAATTTCAGTCGACCAAATATTAATATATTTTAAAGGTCACCTATTATGCAAAATTCACTTTTTCATGTCTTTAATACATCAATATGTGTCCCCGGTGTGTAAGGATATTGTAACAATTTAATGATTTGTAACCTGAAAATCCCATCAAGTTATTCGGTTCACAACCAAAAGTACAAGCAAAAAATACATTCTGTATTGTCTATTTTACTCTAAATGTGCCCATTAATTAAATGCTTGAAAACCATACTCTAAGGAAGAACACTTCAAATTAGTTTTTGAAATAATAATTGCACCAAGAATTGTTTTACTTTCATTTTCATGGTCCTTTGCTCATAGACTTCTTTAAAAGAAAACTAAGAAAAGTTACAACATTCAGAAAAATTATTTTCAGTGAAACCCAACCCAACAGCGGAATTTCAATTTAAGTCCTCATGGTCATACTACCTGTATAGTTCTCTACAAACCACTTTGGGTCATGTCAACAAAAACCTTCATGTCTGTACACTTGGCATCTCTTCTCACCTCCTTCCAGATGAAGAAGTGGCTGAGGAAGCAGCCCACCTCCCCTTTGGTCAGGGTGCGTCCAGAGAACGGGTCGTAGTATCCTGGCAGGAGGTCAACACCCAAGATCTTAATGTCGCTGCTGTTCAGTGCACTGCACAAACAAACATATTTATTAATATATTATTGAATATTGTTTTATTCAAATCATTCCACGGACAACCTCAATGCAACCACTGCCTTCAAAATGTTGTGCACAGGTACAGTGAACAGTATGCTAAAACTTTACTTTTGAAATAAATGGCCATAATCAAGATATTTTCAAATCATCATCATTAAATAATAGTACAATTGATCCAAATCACAAGCCAATTCATCAGTTCATTTCTGTGGGGAATTCTCTTTATCCTCCAATATATCTGTTCTGCCATAATCTTCTTTCTTTCTCACACACTAACAATTAAAACATACTCAAACCAGTTGAGTTTTCTCCCTAAAGCCAGTGTTTCCCTGAGAGTTTGCTCACTTTCCGTCCACAGCGTCCACCACTTTGACGTCAATCTCCAGCTCATTGAGAGAGAACAACATCCGGTCCCTACGGTCATCACGCCGTCTCAGATTAATCAGATAAATCTGAGGAGAGGACAAATACCATTAACTCCCAGCTTTGACTTTATACAAGTATTTCATTTCTTAAAAGTTAGGAGTATGTTCTTTTCACAGATGCTAAATCTACTATAGGCAATTGAATCTCTATGTACACAATGTAAACAATATATAAATATATAGAAACGGTGTTTTCCCTAAGCCATAGCTACTTCTTTGCCAGAAACCATGTTTGATATGTATTCTTTTTGACTACTAGACCTCGGCTATTTCATTGACATGTTTATGAGAAAATGTACTAAAACAAGGAGATGTCTCTTACCTCATCAAAGCCCATGAGGTCTCTCTGTTTTTGGAACATATGGACGTATTTTGAGTGCTGCATTGGAGGACCAAAAACTGTTTGACAAAGGAAAAACATAAAACAGGATGAACTTAAAAAGGACTGAAGTCAGAATAAATACGGTGTATCAGTTTATTTTTCTATCCTATTTTCATAGCTAATATCTCTCTTTTACTAAAAACAGTGAAAACAGTCTCAGCTCTTACTCATGGATTCAAGGTGGACGTGGACAAAGTTGAGGCGATCATCTTCCAAGGTGTGTTGAGGTTTGGGCGGTACGTTCACGTACCCGTATCGCTCCTTGTTAATCAGGTACATCTGTACCTCTGAGAAGCATAACAAAAGAAAGAAAGTATGAGTCATTCATTCTGTTACATCCTAGTTTGTTTCCCCTTTAAAAAATACATGATTCTATCTGACGCTATAACAAAAGCACAACGACTAACAAACCTGCAGCCCGGCAGGAGAAGGCGAACACTATGATGTCGTCATAGGGCCATGAGTAGTCCTCGTGAGGGGGGAAGAAGGCCAGATTCTTCATGCCTTCCTTCCTTAAATCCAGCAGAAAGGTGGAGTGGATCATGGGCACAGGGTAGCAGCCCAGTCTGTGACGGTGCCGGGTGGGGAAATACTCTGCTGTTCGCCGATAATATCCCTGAGAGAGACAGAGAGACATGGAGTATTATGTTATTTTAAAGTTCCTGAAAACAGCTTTTAGGTAGGGATCTTTTTGGTAGTCATTTTGGTATGCTTCCTATGGATCCTATGTGTAAGGAATATACATACATCTATTTTCTTAAAGTATGGATATTTAGAATACAACTTTATCTTACTAATTCACGCCTATTAGTCCTACTGACTTTTTCTCCACATGTATTTTCATTCCTTTCTTGTGGATAATTAATCACCATTCATTTCACCCTCACCTGTGGAGTGATACCACACCAGTAGTTGGAGTACGCTCCCTGAGAGTCGAGCATGGGAGCGATAGCTGACTTGTTCTCAGCTATCAAAAGATTGAGGGTCTCCGGGTTGGTGAGGATATTGTCAGTGTCAGCGTACTGAGACAGACACAGAAAGGACACAAAGGAAAAAAGAGAGAAAAAGAATGTGAGAGTTATTGTTGTGTCTCTTGAACAGGCCGCTGCCAGATCTCTTTCTTGGCTGAAATAACAAAGAGGGACAAGATCTCATCGGTTAAATCAAGGGAAGGAGCTGAAAGGATTCTTATAGAGCTGTCACAAGGGAAATCTTATTATGTACCAGGATATAATCGGCCCAGCGCTTCCTGGCGAAGTCGAGCGCTGACTGCTTCAGCTTCATCACATACTCATATCTGGAGTTGGGCCAATGCTTAGGACCCATCTCTCCTGCATAGGACCTAAGGGAGAGGGAAATAAAGAGACAATATACTGTAGGTTATTGTGGAACTAATTGGCCTAATCCTCATAAAAGTTGTAATGAAAAGGTGATAAACGGATAAATAATTGCCAACATTTTTGATATCCATATGTTTTAGCTAAAGCGGAAGAAAATGGTGCTTTCAGCTTCTCAAATCTTGAGATTTCCCGCCCTTCTGATTTATATCATATTAAATCAAATGTCTTGTGGTTTTGGACTGACAAATCCAGAGTTGTAAAGACATAACCTTGTACTTTGATATTCGGGGATGGATATATATGTCTTACATTTTATAGAACAAAAGAATAAATCAAGAAAAGACAACCAGATGAATCAATTATAAAAAAAGTTGTTAGTTGCATTGCTTCCCCATTTCTAATACTTCATCATTTATAATTATGTTAAGGCTTTATGGTTTCTACTACATATAGCCAACTCTGTGTATGTCAAGTATATGCACACCACTATTGACAGTTTATAGAGTTAAGTGACTTTAAGCAGAGTAGAGTGTATACTTGACATGCACAAACAAATTCCACTAATGCATTCTTCATCTCAGTCAGACGTCCACACAGTCAGGTTGTATGGACAAGCAGGGGCGTGCTGCATCATTCCTTATTTTGCAACGTAAACAGTTTTCTTTTAGGGAACACAGTCGCTCCACTATGACTTATACTGTATGTAAACTAGAGGCTATAAAGGTGTTTTTAAAAAAGACAAAACATGTAAAATACTAAATGTAACTTATCCTGAATAAATAAAAATAGCTGAAGTGTGCTGGGTAAGATGTACTTCTATCTAATCATGACCTACAGGGTAGGATCTTTGCTTACCCAGATCCCTAATGTAAATAAGGTTCAATACATTCATTCATTTGTACTTACGTGGGCTGTTCCATTGGTCTCCACTCAACATAATGGTAGAATTGCTGCATGACAGTCAGCCACTCTTTCAGTATTGCTGTGGTGTTATCCACATTGTGATCCGTGGCTGCCCTGAGGAGCACAGAGAAGGCAAGGTGTGAGATGAATGCAGAATGATGACAGAAGAACTGAAGCTTCAAATGTTTGTGGTTTCATTGAGGGAGAATGAATTACAAAAACTTTAACACAAACAATGAATTGCTAGTCGGATCTCTGTGATTCATTTTTCTTTTTAAGCACATCTTGATTTGGTAGAGCAGCCTAGAGTTATTGCAACATTGAGAGAGCATTCTTCAAAAGCGTTGTTTTCCAGAATAATTTGGGGTATGTAAGGTCATTTTGGGCCTAAATATAAATCATTTAGCAATGATTCTCCATTGCAATACTGGATTTTATGTTTTTTGCATCAAATAGATGAAATATGATTTTTCAGTTATGTAATCTTGAATTATCTGAAAACAGTTACCGCTTTCTTGCAAATTTATCCAACTTCAACTGCTCAATATGTTTTGGGAAAAGGCACTTTGTCATGATATTGATATGGAATGACTCACACTGTGAATCAGATTTTCCATGTTGAAAGTGTACTTCAAAATGCTGCCTATACACTCTTATAACACCAATATTGAAAAATACATTGACATGCTTAATATGTTAACATTCTAAAATGTACAGTGACAACATTTACTGTATAGAATATCTATTTTTGAAAAGCATATATAAATCAATGAAATAAACATACTACAACAGTTTTCTAGTACACCCTAGATAATGTCTGGATTATCCCAGCCCTATTTTGCAAGGCAACCAGGTAACTGCAACCAGGTAACTGTATTTTTTCCTGAAACTAGGTTCATCTTATCAAACAAGCCGAAATGTTAAATGATACAACTTTATGACACAACTAGAATTATAAACCCCCACAGAAGCATATTTGAAAAGACAGTTAAATATTCTGGGTTAAATTATATGGAAAAGGATTAGGGCCACATGACAAATAAAAATGTGGAATTTGACAAAAAGATTATTGTTTTGAGTTCTGACTTAAATCTCAGAATTCAGATTTGTTTTCAAATGACCAAAACATTGTTCTCATTTGGCACTAATCATCTTCCATACAATCACTAGTGTTAGTCACTTTTGTATTAAAAAAAGGTCGCTCAGAAATCAGTAATAAACAAACAGCTAGGATAAAATGTCATAGACCACACAGTAGGAAATGCATGCGGCGGAGTGATAGAGAAATAGGCAGCAGGACTGGGAAAGGCACAGAAGGAGGAGGGGAGGGGTAGGACTCTGCTGCTTCCTCAAACTAATTTAAATGCTATTGACCTTTTGAACGGCTGCTATAGTCGGATAAAAGGAGGACCCCCTCCACAAACAGCCCAGCAGCATGCAGGAAAACCCACCACACGGTGATGCGATCTTTGGGGTAGTTGAGTCTCTCCAGAGCCCCGAGGTAGTACGGCAGGGAGTGAGCTGTGTTTCGGGCTAGGATCGCGATCACCACCGTAGGAGGCTGAATCTGCGACTCCTCCGGGTATATTTCCTCCGAAAAGTAACATTCAGAATACAAAACAAAGGCCCCTAACACCAAAAACTGGAGAAACATGGTGGAAGCTGTGCCACGGTGCTCCAGCTACACAGCCGGTGGACGCGTCAGCAGTCCAAGTAAAAAAAAAAAGGCTTTTCCCAAATGTTCAACCCCCCCCTTCGTTTTGTAAGAGCTGGGCTTTTTCCATGAACACATCCAAACGGAGCAACATTACAACTTCCGCTTGCTAAGCATCAGGAAAAGTCTGACAACGTTGAGCATCGGTGAATGAGAATGCGTGATTTGGCCCGATTGTAGTTACTCGTAAATCTCTGCAGACAACTGTGACATAGACTATAAAGATTATCAGTCATCATGCAGTCAGAAACTTTATCCTCTACACTAAAACATCAGTGTATTGTATTGTAGGCCCAATAACTTTTAACTGTGTTTATCATAACACGTATACTTTTATAGTTTAAATGTAAATAGTTTATCATGTCAGAAACACTGTTCTTTACTGTTATGGCATATCAATTGTATGAGAGATGTATAACTAATCGGAAGGACAACAGTGGATGGTTTCTTTCTGGGTTTCTTTCTGGCAGCAGTTTCAGAGTTTCACCAGCAGAGGGAGGATTTGATCCAAAAGAAGCTCCATTGCTCAGACTGTTACTACTCAGTGAAGTAATAGTAGCCTACTGTATTTTTATTTTTATTACACAATACATGATCAATCAAGCATTTAATTATTGCAGTTCATACATTATAAAACAGTTCAATTAAGAGGGGACATTCTGCATAGTGATTGCATTTGATGCTTTAAGTGCATTTTGCAAGTATTTTTTCAATAACCCACGCAGAAATCTCAAAACAGGGAACTGACGGGACATGCAAGTTAGCTTCCATTACACAGTTAAACAAATACCCAATGGTATATTTCAGTCCAAGGCTCAACATTTTCTTGTTAAAAAGTATCTTCCCGATGAGATCAGAACTTGTATCTCCTGCAGACAAGTGTTCAGTCCACGTTTTGCTGCAGCGGACCACCTTGAACCTCCTCAGTGACCCCTGGAGGTCCTTGGGGAACATTTTCAGAAACTCATTTGACAGCTGTTGTTGGAGCTGTTGTCAAAAGAAAGTAATTAATACAGAAACTACTTACATCACAAAGTACATCCAGCAAGTTTGAATCATCTTCTCAGTTTGTAGAGAACATTGTAAAACAATTATTGTATAATGTGTGCCATCGTTCTTTAACAAATTACATGTGTGGGTAAACATAATACAAACAAATAATCTAAATTAGATAAAATACACATAGTATCACTAAACTAACACACCTATTTATACTGTATAAACAATGAGAAATCTATTATGTCCAAACTGATTACACATCTGTACAGGTACGTAGAAACATGTTGAAAATGTACTTGCAACGTTTCTGTGCTTTGATCCTATTCATTCATGAACTGTGAATATATTATTATTATTTTTTAAGTTAGACAACTATAACTATTGCAACTACAGGTCTATTAGGTCCAACAATCACTTACACAAGTATAGCACACATTTAAATCCTCATAGCTGAAAAATAATCTTTGAAAACAGTACGGTTTTTAGATGAGATCTGAGTAATTAGGCTAAACCTGTGTGAATTTAGCGATGCAAATAATTTATTACCAATGCTCAATCTGTTCAACTCTAGAGGGGGAATTCATTAATCAGAAGTTGAAGTCGACAGGACAGATGCTGTGAAAAAAGAGCTGGACGCCGGAGAAGAGGATGAGGGGAAGAATGGTTGAGAAATTAGGAGAGGCATAAAGACATAAACGTGGGAGGAAAATAATAAACCAATTGGTATATAATGAATTTTGACTCCTTTGGCGGGCTGGCTGAATAAACGAAGGCAGTCATGGCTGACAATAGCGGAGTTGGGTTAAAGGGGTCGTTTTGTGTGGACAGGTCAGCTGGGTTGAGGGTCAAATCCCTCCTATTCATGACACCCCGAGTGTTGCCTAACTCACACACTTGCACACACACATATACGTATGTCAGGGGCACTTTCCCAGCGCTTGTGGCAATGGCAGATCTGGGAGAGTTCAACCTCGGGTGCACTAATTTTTCACAGCGAGGTCAAGGGTGGCGATGGCGTTTGTGTTTGGGGGTGTGTGAATCAAAGACAGAGGGAGAAGGAAAGCGATAGATTGGAGAAATCTTCATTGTTTTGACCAGATTGTAGGAGAGGGGGTGAAAGAAAAGTCGATAAACTGCAGTTGTTGAAGCTTATGTGAAGTTGCCATAAACAGTTGGATCAGACACATGTATTCTGACTTACATATGGAGGCACCAAGCCTCTATAGTAATAGGTGATCATAGGTTTACTGCACTACTTTGTTTCTTTACTTTCTTTTATGTCTGAAGTACACCGTATGTTGACTTAAATTGCCAAAAACCACGCTGTTGCTGTTGTGCAGATGACAATTAGGCCTTTGAATCATAAATCTTGATGACTATGAAGTGGAAGGTTGTGCAGGTTTTCAAATTTCAAACCCTGAGTCTTCTGAGATTTTTCCAAGATGTCTACCTCCCAATTCAATAGAGGTACATGGAATTGTGTCTGCAGCAATCATCAAATAACTGAAAACCGACAATTTGTCTTTTTTGCTGTGAGATAAGTAAACTGAAACTGAACAACAACAAGTACTGCAATAAAAGTAATATTAGGAGCACCAAAAAATGTATTCCTTCACCTCCATTGTAATTAGCAACATAAATCAAAATGACAAATATCTCAATATTTAAGCAAAACAAGCCAAAACTATTTATATGCCACTGAAGATAAGTTACCAAAAATGACCTACACACAGTCACACACATCTCAACCCGCCTGGCAGTCACTGTGTCACTAATCTCTCTCTCATCAGGCAGAATGTTTTACTTAGCGTGAGAGAATGAGTGGCTGTAGGTGAGGATGTGTCAGTGAGAAAGTGTTTCTGTCTTTGTGTGTTGGGACCAGCGGCTGGTATAGGCAGCAGAGAGTCGTGACATTCTCACAAGCTTCCGGGACCTTTATTGCCGTGGCAATAATCAATAGCGTTTCCACAGAGACGTCTTTTGGCTGGGCGGGTCAATATCTGTCACTCAGGTTCTGAGCCGTGGCACATACCCTCTTACTCAGCAGCCTCCTCTGTCTGCTCCCCTCCTCCCATCTCTTCTCATGTATCTCAGGAGTGGGATGCTTTCTCAATTTAAGGAGTCGTGTGTTTTATTTAAACTCATGTCCAATTGAGCCACCGTACCTGATTTCTTTGCTCAGTGTGAGAATCTAAAGTGACTCAAGTAGGACTTGAGGATTTTTGAATTATCTATTTATCCAACATGGTGTTACATTTACATGAGTAATTTATCATAATAATGATCATTTCATGTTTTGCATCGTGAAATTGCTTGCAAATCTTTTTAGCACTAAACTCAAGTAATGGTAAATTGTTTAATTGTGATTAAATATGTTAGTTCAAAACACTCCCACCACTCCCACCAATTCAGTTTAATAGGTTTCCTCATTTAAGGAATTTGTTTTGGTGTTTTGGTGCATAGATTAACACAGTGAGAATAAATGAAATGGAGAAATAAGAGCAAATACTGGAAGAAAATAAATACAAATAAAAAAACACATTACACACACATGCATTTCTACAAGAAACCAAAAAAAAAAGTACAAATATGACAAATGACTGTAAAAAATATTACAGTACACTAAATTAAATTAAAGTTTTTGACAGTAAACTAGAGTGTTTTACAATAAACTTGTGTTTAATTGCCAATACTCACCCTTCCAGTCGCCATGTTTCTGGTGTGGTCAGTGTGAAGAGGCAGCAGTATAGATACATTGACTGACTAGCCGGAGGGCTGGGCGTTTTTTTACCCCAGGTGGCCAATACTGCTGTTTGACTCAAGCATTTAAACAGAATTGCTTCAGTAAAAAAAATGACCTTTGCCCATCAAGTCCAGTCTTCACTCAACACCACTTAGTCAGCACAAAGAAAACTGATGCTCGCACCGAATGTACCAGCCATGCCTGAAATAATGAGATGATGATGTCAGTGATACAGATGTGATTGCATTATCTGCTCTCATGAATATGAAAAAGAACATCAACAAACTTTTTGTTATAATTTTTATTAAAAGTATATTTAATTTTAGTGTTGTCAAAACAATTAAATTGATTTAGCAGTATATGATTACAATGAGTCTTACAGTGTGATAAAGAAAAGCCTCGAAATAATGATATGTTTGGACGTTCTCTTTAACTCATCTTCTATCTCTAAACTGCTACAGGTTAGAGTCAATTCTGGTTGCCAAGCGAGGCATGATTTAGGACTTTAATCATCTTTAACTTTTAAACTCACAGAAACCTAAAATCTTGCACATTTACTCAAATTTAAATGTGCGTTTGTATTTTCTAAGTCACAAATGACAGGATGTTTGTGAACACCCTTGAGAGGAGCCCTGTGATCTGTACAAAGTAAAGGGTAAGATTAGTGTCTCTGCTTCCCATCTTCGCTGCTACTCCCCGGATGACGCTGTCTGTCGCCTCGTTGCCAAGCAACAGTGCAGCCACTGTCAAAGAATTCTGGGGGATGTTTAGGCAGCGGCATGCTTGGGGGGAAGGAGTGTGTGTGTGTGTGTGTGTGTGTGTGTGTGTGTGTGTGTGCGTGCGTACGTGCGTGCGTGCGTGCGTACGTGCGTGCGTGCGTGCGTGTGTGTGTGTGTGTGTCAGAGGAGAAGCAGAGCATACTCATGTGTGCATTTATATGTGAACTTTCTTTTAATCTCAGCTGTTATGCAATTTGATGATTCGCAAAGATTTATTTTGCAATCCTGCCTTTCATCAGTTTCACACCGTACACCTCTCTGATCTCTGATGAGTTAACTTTTCTCACACACACCGTGAAATACTTCACATTTAGTTTTTGATGTTCGAAGTGTGTTTTCACATTCTTGACCCCCAACAACACTGTGAAGCAACGTACTGTCAGTTACAATGGATAGTCAAGTAACAAGTGGTGTTAGATATACTTCTTCAGTCATATTCAAGAAATAATTCGCCCATAAGCAACATAACAGCTTCAGAAAGTTAATGAATAT